TGTGTGTGTGTGTGTGTGTGTGTGTGTGTGTGTGTGTGTGAAGGGTGGGCGGGGGGAGGGGCAAAAAGAGAGGGAGAGGGTGAATCTGAAACAGATTCCACACTCAAGGAGGAGCCCAACACAGGGTCCAATCTCAGGACCTGAGACCCAGGCGCCCCCACGTACTATTTTCAAAAGTTACTGATACCAATGTGTACCCTTCAAGACCACAATGATGTTGCTGGAAATTTTGTGTATTACTTTTTTTTTTTTTTTTTAAGAAGAAAGATATTTTTCCCCCCTTCCAGCACAAAATTCTTTGGGGATCAATAGGTTTATACTATTTAGCATAGTGTTCAAGAAGATACTTCAGAGTAGTTTTAGAAGCTGTGGATTTCCCAAGGTATTTTTTTTCTTCTTAAACAAAGAAGTGACAAGTGAGGAAGCCAGTGTCTTTCTAACCCTTTGCAGTCAACATGCATGACTTAAAATTTCATGTCTCTGTTGCTCTAAGAAAAGACAAATTTCAAACACTATATCAAATAAGTCCTTAGTGTGTTTCATGTTGCACTTCTGCTCTCAAAGTCCTGAGAAAAATTGTTCAAATACGTGGAAGAGGCAGAGATATTCACATAAAGTATTTTGACATTTCAACCAAAGTTTGAAACCCTTTGCAATCAGAAATGAACATTCCCAACCACCCTCCTAAGCACTGAAAACTTTAATCCCAAACAGCAGTATCTTTTGAACAACACATTCTTATAAATTAAATCATCAATTTGACTTTTATCAAATTAGCTAAGATAAAATCTTTACAGAAGTACATAAATCAATCATTTTGAAGCAGAATGGTCGTCAGATTACATATGCAAATACAAAATTAGGTAACTGAATGGAAGCCAGAGTGACCTTGAGAATAGCATCTTGATGCTTAGATTTTATCTGGTATTGTTCTAACAGTCAGATCCTATATAAGGAGTGAGTAGAAGTCTTGAGTGAGGGGTCAGGGAGAGTTATGCCTGCCCCTCTCTTGAGCTAACACCTTTCCTGACCTCAAAGAGAATTCTCACTAGGGATAGAGTAGAACTGAGCTGGCAGGTATAAGTCAATTAACTCCAGCTTTGGGGATTTCTGAGAAAATAGACATTTAATCAGGTTAGAAGAGTCATTTTATCTTACTTATTATTTAGCATTCCATGGTAAGGTCAAGATATTACTATAATCTCAATACTATGGATAAGTAACTGAGACAAGAAATTAACAGGTTAGATCTTTTACTGTTTCTGCAAATCCATAGGCATGTCAAGCTGGATCAGAGAAGTGAAGTATCCAGGTTCAAAAACAACTTGGTCCTACTGCAAACCCTTGTCCCTTCTTCCACAGCAGACAATATGCACAGTGGTGAAGGCAAGAGCAGAGACCCTAGAACCTCAATGCTTGGGTCTCATCCTGGCTCTGTTCCTGCTTTCCTGTGAGATCATAGACTGATGGTTTCATGTTTCTATGGCTCAGTTTTCTGATCTGTAACATTGGATGAAACTAAGGGAGCCAGCCTACAGAGTTGTGGTGATGGCTAATTCGTTCATGTACACCAAGTAAAATCGTGCTTGGCACATAGAATGATCTAGTCATCATCTTTTATCATTAACCTTATTATTATTACTATTATCACTATAATTGCTAGCCAGCATCATGCTGCTAACTTTAATCTTCCTTTAATTATATCCTGGTTGTCTTTTAACAAGTTTTGATCGATACCACTTGGCTACTCAAAAATGGTGGCTAGTGAATTTTCAATTTAACAAATGCTAACTCTTCTGCTTGAATGTCAAAACATATTTAAACAAGATCCTACCTGCCATAATCCTCCCTGACCAGAATCTGGTATCCTCGTCAGGCTTGTCCCTACGTTCAGAATGCTCCTTCTTTCATTCATAATGCTTTCTTTTATCCCTTATGCCAACATAGTTATTAGTCCTTGAGTGGATTCTGTGCCTCAAATCCATAACAGTAACTAATATCAGTGTTCAAAGGTTGCATATTAGAAAAAGATTCCCTAAAAAGTACTCTTTCTAAAACAATACAACTCAAGACTTTCATAAAAGTCATTGTGGGCTGTGTTTTCTCAGAAAGGAAGGAGACCACCTTCACAAATATACTTGAACTTGTTAAATATTTTATGTTCCAAATCAATTATATGAAATTATATTTTTGAATATTTGAGTTTATTTACAATAAATGAATTTGTTCAATACATTTGCTGATAATTGTATATACAGTACTTCTGAATACCAAGGATGTATATCTTTCTCAATCTCTCAGTTTGGAGTTGGTTCAAAATGATTTAATGTAGAGGGGCACCTGGGTGGCTCAGTCGTTAAGCTTCTGACTTCGGCTCAGGGCCCGCATCAGGCTCCCTTCTTGGCGGGAAGTCTGCTTCTCCCTCTTCACTCCCCCGGCTTGTGTTCCCTCTCTCACTGTCTCTCTCTCTCTTTCTCTCTGTCAAATTAAATACATAAAATTTTTTAAAAAATGATTTAATGTAGAGTCCAAATTAAATATGTGTCAATCCTGACTTTCAATGACTTAATAAATGTTTACATTTTTCCCCATGATAAAAATAAAGCATGCATAGATCTGAATAATACGAAGAACCAATATAGATTGTCAGATCTGGTACCTTATACAGACTACAAGATATCATTAATTGCCTGTGCCGCTGGAAAAGTAAAACGTAATGGAGCTCCTGCGAAGAAAACATGTCATACAGCAACAATGGGTAAGTTCTATGCTTTGATGCTTCTTTCTGTGAATGGCAAGGTGCAAAGTGTAAACTTTTTAGTATACAATCCATCTGTCTTTATGCTTCATTTAGGAAACACATTGAGATGGCACATGTGTTAACATCTAGGGTTTATAATAATTCAAAATACAGTAATTTCATAACTGTTATCCTGGGTTTTCTGTATATCTCATATATCATCATAGAATTGTAAGAATGAAGCAGAGGGCATATTAACAGGTACAATTTTTAAGGTTTCAGGCAATTTAGGTACCTAATCAACTTAGATAGAAATGCATTATCTGTTGTTTTATCATCTAGAAATATCAATTGTAATCAGACACCTAATAATGTCTCACTTTGAAAGCAAAGTGTTCACTTGCTGACCTCTGCTTACCTCACAAAACGTCCTATAAAACATAACATTTTATTGGCATTTTCTTCTCTTTGTTATACTGAACTACCTACTATTTTATTTTATGGCACATTTTCCATTTGAGATTTCCTTTCAAAGGCATTTGCCTCTTGCCACCTGTGTGATGTTTCCATAGTTTCCAAGATCTAAAGCTAGATCTATCTCTGAGGTGAATGTTAACTCCACTAAGTCAGGAAGGAAGAAATAGCCCTGTGTAAGGTAGTATTTTAGCTCTGGAGATCCTAACTGGCACCAGGCTTATGAAGAAAAATTTTGTCATTTAGGGCTGGGCGCAGAATGCTCTTAGTGAAATTTAAGGTCATTTAGGTTCTGGTTTTAAAAGTCCAGATCCTTGAACTTTATGGTTTTATTATTTTTCTAAATCTCTGTGAAGTCACAAAAAATGAAGATAATTTGTTACTGCTCCTGAAGAATGCAGCCAGGTAGGTGGTTACTAGGATAACATAAGCATCTCAAGGATGGAGAAGCTGGGACATCTGGCTGGTTCAGTTGGTACAGTGCAACTCTTGATTTTGGGATTGTGAGTTTGAGACCCATGTTGGGTGTAGAGATTACTGAAAAATAAAAGTCTTAAAACAATGCAGGTGCTGGACTGTATGTAAACCTTCAGAGTCCCCATATCATCCTTTCTTTTCTCCTTGCCCCTTTCTTCCCCTCCCCTTCACCTTCCTCTCTTTCCTTCTATTCTATAATTCTACATACTCCCCGTAGGGGATAGCATAAACTCTCATGATTTCAAGTACAACACAGATGCTAATATTCACTGAATGACTAGGTGATTTATTTTTAGGTGTTTTGGTACAACATTTTGATGGATGTACTATTATAACTTCCTCATCTATAACCACCAAATTCACACTTACAATAATTTATGTTGTACATTTACATTGCCAAGTAATTTTAATATGCATTTACAAAGTGATTCAAGTAACAAATCTTTCTTCATTTTGATAGCTCCAGGCCCAGTCAACAACTTACATGCTTTACTGAAAACAGATAATAGTATAATCGTGACTTGTAAGCCTCCTACCATATATAATGGCCCCACGAATGGCTCCTACCATCTGAAAGTCAAAACTGGAGGTGGTTATGTTAAAGAAGAAACATTAAAATCTTGTAATTTCTCTGTAGAAGATCTTCAATATTCAACAACATATGAATTTGAGGTAAGATTTTAATTTCTATAATCACTATAGTACTGAAATACATTATAATGATTATCATGTCATACTTAAATCATACTAAGACCAGTGTTCATGTAAGCTTGAGAAACTGTGTCTAATGAAATCAAACTTTGAAGTCTTAAATATTTGACTTCAAACTTTGAATCCCTAGTTCTAAAAACAGTGGTTTCAAGCAAATATTTTTTTTTGGAATATTTTTTACCTTCAATATGATTTACTTAAAGCAAAATTATTGCTCCTCTGTCAAGAAGCCCAACATTTTCATGCAGTGGATTATTAATTTGTCAAATCTTTCATTTACCTTGAATTTATCTTTATTAACATGACTTTTTTAATTACAAAATATTTTACAGGTACACTGAGGTGAGAAAAGAGTAGAAATAAATATTAGGAAATAAGAGTGAACATAGAGAATTAAAAAGCTCGTCTATAAGCTTACTGTGTACTGATCATATTTTGTGAATATATTCCTAAAATGAAAAAACTCAGTCTTTCTCCTGGTTGTAGGGGAAAACCTCAGTTCAGTCTTCTCTTGTGTGTTCCTTTCTGTGAGTCTCCTGTACTCTTCACATGCAACACCAATGTCACCACGTGACACTTCTGGTCACAGAATGTGTGGAGCCTTTTCCCCACATCAACAAGTCTTTGTGGCACCAGCTGGGTGTCCTACAATTTAATTCAAACCTGACACTACCTATCTGGAGACCGTGGCAGATTCCACTGGTGAAGGGCTTGGTCCCACAAGACTGTTCCCATTCCTCTTCAGATGCCAACTGCAAATAGCTGGTCCCTAGGTTACCCTCAATTTTTGTCCAATGTGGCTATAAATTGGGCATTCCCATGACCCTCTCCTCAGGTCTGACTGTTTGCATGGCCCACAGAACTCAGGGAAACACTTATTCACATTTATTTATTTATTTATACCAATTTATTAAAGGATGTGATAAAGGATATAGATGCAGTCAGATGAAGACATAGGGTGATGTCTGAGAAGGCCCCAAGTACAGCACCTTCTGTCTCCATGAAGTTGGGGTGCACCATTCTCCTGATGTAGATGTGTTCACCAACCTGATAGCTCGCCAAATCTTGTTCTTTGGAGATTTTAAGGAGCCTTTATCATGTAGATGTGATCAATCATTAACTTCATTTTCAGCCCTTCTACCTTCTCAAGAGAATGAGAGGCAGGACTGAAAATTCCAAACTTCTTTCCGATGACTAATCACCTCATTAGAATGAAAGACACTCCTATCACCAGGGAAATTATAAGGGTTTCAGGAATTCAGGAACCAAGGGCAAAGACCAGTATATATTTTCCATTACCTCACAACTTCCATAATGTGTAATGCATATTTATATATATTCAGCACATATATTATCAATATTTTGAACATGCAGTTTTTCACTATCACTATATCACGAGCAGTTTTCCATGTTAAATATTCTGCTACTATGCAATTTTTAATTGCTGTGTAAGATTCTATCATATGGCTTCATCACATTCTATTAACTGTGCTTGTTTTCATCTCCGTTGTAGACAATAATCAGTAAACACACTTACTGGTAAACAGAAAAATCTTTGAATCTGTCTTTAATCAGTTCAGTTTAAATAAATTCCTGGAAATAAATGTATTGGTTTAAAAATAATTTACATGTATTTTAAGAATTTTTGTGATAATTTTTTTTCCCTCTAAGTTGCCAAATTACACTTCCCATAACAGTATATGAAGTGACTGCTGTTAAGTCTCACAATACTGGGCATGCCCTTCTTTTTCTTTGATGTGTAGTAGGTGAAATATGATATTAACATCTCTTATTGTTTTAATGGAGTTTCTTTATTTACTGATGAAGATAAACATAGTTTTTGTTGTTGCTGTTATTGGTCTTGTGCTACCATACTTTTTACCTCCTTTGCCCAGTTTTATTTGGGGAAGTTGGATATTGATGATATTAAAGTCTTTGTCATATAAATTGCAAATTTTGTTTCTGATTTGCAGTTTGCTTTTTAATTTTATTTGGAACACTAAGTCATATACAATTTTTCCTTTTATTTTTATTCAGTCAAATTTATCAGTTTTATTTCTCATTTGATGGAAATTTAAACAGTCTATAGTTGACTGTTCAATATAATGTTGGCAACTGGCTTCATATCTTTAATCACTTAAAGAAATGTTTATGTATATATAATAATGTATATAAATATATAAACTTTCTTGTTGTTTCTCTGTTTAATCAGAGACATAGGTTAGACTTTATCACATGTTTTTATTGTACTATATTAGATGATGCCATGGTTGTGATGACATGATGTTATTTGTTTATATGGTGAATTATAGTAATAGGTTTTGTAATGCTAAACCATGTCACATTCTAAGAAAAAAATCTTGCTCTGTTGTTATGTATTATTTCCTGAAAGTATTATTGAATTCAATGGCTTAATTTTTTTAAGTCTTTATGAATGGATATTCATAAATGAGATCCTTCAATAAGTGGGTAGAAGTAGTGGGCATAGCCATTTGGTATAGGTGTGGGCATGCTCCATTCTTAATATATTTTGGTACAAAGGTTATGCTAACCTGATAAAGCATATTGGAGACATTTTCCTGTTTTTGTACATTTTATAACTTTCATATAGGGAATTATTTGTTCTCTGAATAATTTGTTTTAATCCTCTTAACACAGAGGAACTCCTTCTGAACCATTTACATTTTCTTCCAATATTACTGTTCTTTATAGATATTTTACACTTTGTGATGATGATATTTATTTTTTCAAGGAATAGTCCATGTAAAAGAAATATTTTGTTATTGCATATCATGTCCATTATACGTCATCTCCCATTACTTTTCTAGCCCCATTAAGCTACTTTTTTTTCAGTTTCTCAACCACATCTGTACAGGTACTTTACCTGATGCTCTTCTCTCTTTCTAGAATTTTCTTCTCCCATTTGTCAATATAAGTTATTCTGGAAAAATATAGATAAACATCATATTAAAATACAATCTTCAAATTCAAATTAGTATATTATTATCTAGTTATTCATTTTTCCCTACCCTCCAAAAGATTGTCTCTTGTTTTCTTCATTGCATGTACCATAATTCATTTCCATGTTTCTTTCTGTTTCTACTACAACATTTATGCCATCACAAGGTACCAATCATTTTGGTTTTCATCATCACTGTGATCTCTGGTTAATAGAATAATAAGGTTGTTTTTATCATTCTTAATTTATTACTTTTCTTTTTTGTAGATTTATTTTTATGTTCTGGTAATTTAGGATTGAAAGTGGTTTCTGTCCATTTCTTTCTTTTTTTATTTTCTAAAAACAAAACAAAAGAAATCTATGAACTGTCCTTTCGTAAAATTTTGGCTGTATACCATGTCTGTGATATTTATTACTAATTTTTGAATGACTGACATAAAATTTAATGAGTGGATTTTTAGAGTAGAATGTTCTTATTATTGATAATTTCCAAAATTTATAACTGCAATTAGAAAGAATTTTTCATTTATGTGTTTTTACATTTTTGGTGCTTGGATTTTTATTATTATTAATTGTTAGATTTTAAAAGATAATCAGCTTTTACAATTCCTACTTTTTGGAATTTATAAAGTATTTTTTACAGCTCAATGTATAATGAATGCTTTTAAATATTCTGTGAGTACTATATTTGCCAAATCTTACCAAAGGGTAAAAATTTAGATATATATTTTCCGAATTTGTCATGTTTACCTTTTAATGATACTATTCAGATTTATTTTTACTTAAATTTGTTTTTTGCCAAAGCCTCTTATTGCTTTCTTGTTCCTTTCAGCTTTCCTTGTATCACTAAATTGTGTTGGTTTTATTTGTATTCAGTATTATGAGACACAGATAGTTATGCTAGTTAGGTCAACACTGTAGATTTTAATCTATATCACTTGAGGGTGACAATCTTTATCATTTTAATCCTTGTGAATTAAATACCACTTTATTATAAATATTGTGATTCTTATTTCTACTTATTTTTATAAATTGTGTGTGCATTTTATTTATAACTCTTATAAACAGCATATGATAGAATTTCCCTTTTAAATAAAATGTAAAGATATTAGGTAGGGAATTTTAACTTTAAGATTTGAATATTTTGTTGTGTTGGATTTTATTCCTTCAGTTTCACTTATTTTTGTTGATTATAACCATTATTATTATTATGATTATAGCTAAATAGGTTGAGATTTCTTTTATCTTTTTCACTGTTAAATAATGTCTTTAAAAAATATTTGATAACAAAATGTTGCCATAATCTTGGTTTCAACTTGAAAGTTAACCTGTATATTTAAATTAAAATAAATAGCATTGTATGAGAAGTAATATATGTGTTTCAATATGATAAATAAATTTACATTAGAAAATTATTTTCTCTTTTACTACTGAAATTCAGGTCTACTATAACAATATGCACTTTGATGGACCTGCAAAAAGAGTTTCTCGATCAACATCTTGTAAGTCATTACATGGCTATTTATTATATTTTATTTACATCAAAACATATATTAACACTTACAAAGTTTTATTTTACATTCATACTAATATTTAATTTTTAAATGTTCATGTTTTCCATAAACGATATTTTAAGTTGCCTGTAAAAAGATGTATAGGTAAATAAAATACAATATTTTACTTTATTTTTAATTTTTGAGTATAGTTGATACACAATGTTACATTATTTTCAGGTGTACAACATAGTGATTTAACAACTATACTTTATGCTATGTTCACCTCAAATGTGGCTACCATCTGTCACCATGCAACACTATTACAGTATCACTGGCTCTATTCCTTATGCTGTGCCTTTTATTCCAGTGATTTATTCATTTCATAACTGAAAGCCTGTGCCTCGCACTCCCCTCACCTGTTTTACTCATCCTGTCACCCCTCTTCTCATAGACAACCATCAGTTTGTTCCCTGTAAAATACAATATTTTAAATTCCATTAGGAGATTCAAGGATTCAAAGATTGTTGATTTCATAAAATAATTCACAAGAGGACTTATCTATATAGACTTAAATTATGATTAGGTTTATGACACTTTTCATGTTTGTTTTGTGTACTGTTTTGGAGATTGTTATTTATTTTATCTTATTCTGTCAGTCCAAGGTAAGCTTGGTAGAAGTAGGCATTAGAAAAAAATCTGTCCTGCTTTACATAACTAAAGCCAAGATAATGCTTAATAACAATATGCCTATTTGATTTTTTATCATTAATATTTTACACATTTAAATCAAAATAAAGTTGCAGATAGAAAAAAAAATCACTTAGGGGCACCTGGGTGGCTCTGTGGGTTAAAGCCTCTGCCTTCAGCTCAGGTCATGATCTCAGGGTCCTGGAATAGAGCCCCGCATCGGGCTCTCTGCTCGGCAGGGAGCCTGCTTCCTCCTCTCTCTCTGTCTGCCTTTCTGCCTCCTTGTGATCTCTGTCTACCAAATAAATAAATAAAATCTTTTTAAAAAAATCACTTAAGTATAAATGTCATCATGATAATGAAAATAACAGGTACCTGTCACCACTCCCCACTCTTTGTCCTGCTCGTGGAGAGGACCAATTTTCACCATTTCTGTTTTCAGTTCTCCTTATAGTTCTCTCCATATATATCAAGAATATTGCTATTCTTTCTAGAGCTAATATAAACATTGCCCATTGATCTGATCCTATGAAGGGAGAAGACTTAGTTCATTGTTTTAAGTTTTCTCTGCCTGTTGGCTTGTAAATTAAGTTAAATTATTTAAATCTCTATGTGTTGTGTTACCAACCACAGGCTATTTCTGATGCTATCATTGCAGAGTCTCAGCCTCTCTCTCTTACACACATATGCATCTGCATGATGACGAACACCTTCTTTTCCGAAGTCTTTGAAAAAGAGGAAAGAGATAAAAGCTCCTGTTCCAAGCTGCTTTCCTAAGGTCTATGTACAGTTTTCATTCTTTCTGTTCAGAGGCTTGAACTAAATGTTCCCAATGTGAAATGCCCACCAAATTCAGCCAAGTAGCTTTGATTTTATTACCATTTAAGTACTTTTCTAATTCTTTACAATAAAAACAGCTTCATTAATTTTTTTTTTTTTTTTCCTGAGTGTGCAGATAGCCTATAGCTGCAGCACCTACTCTTGGGGGTCAAAGACTCAACTGGGAACATTTCACACTCACATCTTAATAGGCCAGATGTGAGACCGTTTCACTCAGAAAGACACAGAACGGGGAACACAGGGTGCCAATGAGGGAGGCTATCAGCCTCAACTGCGGTAGCAATGAGCATGGTGGTCTGAGAACCATTCTGTGACCCCCTCCCTGCCACCCTCCAGAGGCGAGGGAAGAGAATCAGATGGCATGTATGGGAGTGGGAGCTGCCCTGGCTTAGAACCCCCATGTTAAGAAAGGAACCAGTATCTCTTAGAATAGTTCCAGGGGCATAGCTTCCAGATATGACAACAGGGATAGGGCCAGAAATGAAATGTGCCCTGGGTTACTCCATTCAGGAAAACCTAAAGCTAGGGTTTCCCCCAGGACCGTGTAGTTGGTACAAAAACTTCCCTGTCCAGATGCAGTTTAGCAATCAGGGATCATTTTCACCATTGGCAATGTTGCCTTTTAACACAGGTAATATTTCACTTTTCTCAGATTTCCATGTCAGTGGGGCTAGAGAGTTATCCCAAGGTCCTTTTTCCATAACGCAGAAAAAGTTTTATTAACCTTTTGCTCCCAAGGGCATTGTCATTAGAGATAAACAGTAAGACACTATTTTAAAAATTTAAATTCAATTAGCCAACGTATAGTTATAATGACGTTTTAATAGTGACATCTTCTCCAGGGGAGGTCTGGGGCTGGCACTTGCTAACCAGAAATACTAGAAAAGTATTGCTGAGCTTCCCCAGTATAAGATTTCCTCATTTATATTTTGACAACATTTCCAATTGAACTCCTGGGGCCCCTTTCTTCTTGTACTGATTTGGACTCTCTAGGTGTACAGTTCAGCCGCTGAGGTAAAATTTTCCTTCATTAGTTTCCTCTTTTAGAATTGCTACATCTGAATCTAACTTTTTAAAAAATTTACTTGTATATATTCTCTAGTGCAAGGAGAAAATATTCTAATGCTTGCACATATAAAAATGAAATGCTTGATTCTATCCTGGCACTTGATCAATATTTTGACCTGGCATAGAATTCTAAGTTAAAAAAAAATCAAGAATTAAAAAAGGATTTCTGTTTTGTTCTCCTGCATCCAGTATTACTTTCTTTTTGTTCTTTTTTAAAAATTTTATTTATTTATTTGACAGACAGACAGAGATCACAAGTAGGAAGAGAGGCAGGCGGCGGGGCGGTGGGAGGATTAGGCTCCCTGCTGAGCAGGGAGCCCGATGCGGGGCTCGATCCCAGGACTCTGAGATCAGGACCTGAGCCGAAGGCAGAGGCTTAACACACTGAGCCACTCAGTCGCCGCCAGCATTACCTTCTAATGCCTTCCCATTTCTCAATCTTTTTCTATATTCTCATATTTTTGTTCTCTTGGGAACTTTTAAGGTTTCCTCTTTATTGGTCTTGCATTGGTCTTATTTTCATTTCTTTTCCTGGATACTATTGGCTTTTTTGTCCTGGAGACTTATATCTCTGAGAAATTTTCTTCGCTCTATTTTTTTTTTTTCCTGTAGTCCTTTTGGCACTCCTGTTAGTCACATTTTGGAAACTGTAAATCAGTTTATTATTTTGGAATCCCCCTGTCTTTTTGAGAGTTTCCTTGAGAGTGTGGTTCTTATCAGCAGGCTGATCAAAGCCATAGTGAGACAATAGGAGAAGTTGATTAGAAGTGCTGTGATCCTGGGCGCCTGGGTGGCTCAGTGGGTTAAAGCCTCTGCCTTCGGCTCAGGTCATGATCCCAGAGTCCTGGGATGGAGCCCAGCATCGGGCTCTCTGCTCCGCAGGGAGCCTGCTTCCTCCTCTCTCTTTCTCTCTGCCTGCCTCTCTGCCTACTTGTGATCTCTGTCTGTCAAATAAATAAATAAAATCTTAAAAAAAAAAAAAAGAAGAAGTGCTGTGATCCATGATTTAAAAAAAAAATTGCAAAACAACAACAACAACAAAGAAGTGCTGTGATCCTTAGAGGGGCTGTTGACTGAGGATTCTTTGTATTATTATTTTTTCTGTTTATTAAAAGAGAATTTTACTTTATTATTTACTTATATAACATCCATTTTTTACTTCTTTTTAAAAAAAATTGTCCAAGTTTTATTTAAATTCAAGTTAGTTAACATATAGTGTATGTAGTACTGGTTTTAGGAGTATAACACTCAGTGCTCATCACAAGTGCCCTCCTTAACGCCCATCACCCATTTAGTCCATCCCACCACTCACCTCCCCTCCAGCAACCCTCAGTTTGTTTCCTACAGTTAAGAGTCTCTTATGGTTTGCCGCTATCTCTGTTTCTACCTTATTTTAGTTTTCCTTCTCTTTCCCTATGTTCATCTGTTTTGTTTCTTAAATTCCACACATGAGTGAAATCATATGGTATTTGTCTTTCTCTGACTCATTTCATTTAGCCCTCTAGCTCCACCCTCATCATTGCAAATGGCAAGATTTCATTCTTTTTGATGGCCGAATAATATTCCATCATATATGTAATAAACATATTATATATATATATATATATATATATATATATATATATATATATATATCTTTATCCATTCATCAGTTGATGACACATGGACTCTTTCCAGAGTTTAAGTATTGTGATAATGTTGCTATAAACATCAGGGCACATGTGCCCCTTCAAATCTGTATTTCTATATCCTTTAGATAAATACCTTGTAGTACAATTGCTGGGTAGTAGGGTAATTCTATTTTTAGCTTCTTGAGGAATATCCATATTGTTTTCCAGAGTGGCTGCACCAGTTTGCATTCCCACCAATAGTGTGTGAGGGTTCCTTTTTCTCCGCCTCCTCACCAACATCTGTTGTTTCCTGTGTTGTTAATTTTAGAGTCATTCTGACAGGTGTGAGGTGGTATCTCATTGTGTTTTTGACTTGTATTTCCATGATGATGAGTGATGTTGAGCATCTTTCCACGTGTCTGTTAGCCATCTGGATGTCTTCTTTGGAAAAATGTCTATGTTTCTGCCCATTTCTTAATGGGATTATTTTTGGGGGGGGGGACGGTGTTGAGTTTGAGAAATTCTTTATCAATTTTGGATCCTAACCCTTTATCAGATATGTCATTTATAAATATCTTCTCTCATTTCATAGGCTGCCTTTTAGCTCTGTTGATTGTTTCCTTCGCTGTGCAGAAGGTTTTAATCTTGATGAAGTCCCAATAATTTGTTTTTGTTTCTCTTGCCTCTGGTAATGTGTCTAATAAGAAGTTGCTACTACTGAGGTCAAAGAGGTTACTGCCTGTGTTCTCCTCTAGTATTCTCTTTCGTCTTCCTTTTCTCCAGGAAAGGGCATGATTTCATATTAAACTCTGGTGAAAATTTACATCAGGATAAGTAATCCTAATGGTAGAATGAAACAGTTTTTATCCCTTGGTTAATTGATTTTATTCCTTAGTGAGTAGATGAGAAGTTTTATCTGTGTGGAACAGAAGTCTTTCTGATCCTTTTGGGAAGCTATCTGCTTCTGCACAAAAGTTAAACTATGTGAGGTTTTTCTCCAAGATTTGTAATAACTAAATTATCTCTCTTATCCCTTCAAAATGGAATGCTGAAAGAAAGAGAATTAAGCCTAAAGGATTGTGTTGCATAAAGGAACAGTATCTTGTGGAAGAAAAGAGAGCTTCTCTTTTGTATTCTAATTATTCCCTTAAAATATTAGGTGTTTTTGTTTGTTTTGAGTAATGTAGGCAAAATACACAAAATCAAGAATTTTTTCTATTTGGTCTCATTCTAAAAACTTTATTTTTCAAAAGAAGATAACATATTAAAATGAAAGTACTTTTTAAAAAAAATGATTTTGTTTATTCGTTTGACAGAGACAGAGAGATCACAAGTAGGCAGCGAGGCAGGCGGCGGGGGGGAATGCAGGTTCCTCGCTGAGCAGAGAGTCTAATGTGGGGCTCGATCCCAGGACCCTTAGATCATGACCTGAGCCGAAGGCAGAGGCTTAACCCACCGAGCCACCCAGATGCCCCAAAATGAAAGTACTTTAAAGGTGATATTAAAAAATCCAGTTAAATATTTGCCATAATAAACTTTCTTCATGTGTTATTTTTCACTTCTAGATAATTCTAGAGCACTGATTATATTTCTGGTATTTCTGATTATTGTGACCTTCCTAGCCCTCCTCATTGTTCTCTATAAAATCTATGACCTTCGCAGCAAGAGGTCCAGGTAAGAGTTGATTTCAAAATGAAAAATAATAGTAATAATGATGAAAGCACCCATATATGGGGCAACTTTAGAACCAGTTAAATAAAGAAGGGGAAGTAGCATGAAGTTCAGTTCATGTGAACTTTTGATCAAAAACTTAGTGTGGTCTTCTTGGTTTTTAGTAAATACTAATTGTTTCTACATTTACTAATAATGTTATGGATTTTTAAAAATAATAGCTAATGAAATGAATAAATATTTATTCTTTTAGTACAAAGTAGGTCAGAGGGATCTAGAAATGATAAAGGCAAAAAGGAAAGAGAGAACTATCTAAGGAATTATATATATTCCCTTGGCCAGGAACAGCTACGTTTTACGAAAAACAAGAATTTAAAAACAAAAAAATTAGTCACTTAATTGCATTTAACAGAGAACTCCTAGTTGGTTTCTTCCTCCATTAATTTTTCTTTACTCCTCTCTCTCTCCCACATCTCCTCTCCTTCATTCTTTCCTCCCTCCCCTGCCATATTCCTTCCTCCTTCCTTCTCTCCCCTTCCCTTCTTCCCTTCCCTTCCTCTCTTCTCCTTTCCCCTTTATCCTCTCCTCCCTGTCTCCATTCCCTCCTTCCTCAACACATTCACTAAATATAAATTGAATCCCAACTGAACTCTATGTTTCTTTAAAAATATATAAACTTCCATTTCTTATTTTCACAGCAATATGGAAGAAGAGGTTATACTTGTTGAAAGGGGTAAGTGGAGATATTTTTTACTGGTGAACATCCCCTTCATATTTGAATCCATTCATTTTAAATAAGAATTCAACATTTAAAAAAATATTATTTGGACTTCCTCTGTTGATACAATCATGAAACTTAAATTCATTTATTCTCTCTGTCTCTCTCTCTTATATATATATATATATATATATATGTAAAATATAAATAAAATAAATACATATATATTATATGTATATTATATATATATATATAAATTCTATTTAGATCAGTAAGTACTATGAATTTCCCAGTATATGCCAAATATTGTGCCAGCATTGAAAAACGTGGCAATTATAGGCCACAGACTCTGCTCTTAAAAGGTTTAAAATTTAATAGAGGAAAACAGAAATATCGAGAAAATATGAAAGCCATTTGGTAAATGCCATAGTGATTGAATGTGTATGATGCTATGGAAAGATAGAAGGCTGAGTGGGAAAGGCAGGCATCTGGGTCTTCTAAGATTGTGGGGAGACATTAGATCAACAAATGAGGGAGTGGTGGATGGAAGAACAGATGGAAAGTCTCATAGAGGAGGAACTGATAAGTGTGGTCAAGTCTCTGCCAGGATGGGCTGGTGGCTTTTCCCTAAAGGCTCATTTATGAGCATGACAAAAAAAATTGCAATTTGACTTAGGTGAGAAAAAGGAATTCCATTTTTTCTCTTCTTTTTCAACTTTTACACTATTTCTTTAATTCTTCCAATGTGATTTTGGATCTGGTAAAAGGAGATGGAGATAAAGATTGAAACTATGTTTACAATAGAGAAAATGATTTGTTGTCTCATATTCAAGACAGCAAAAATTTAAGAACTCCTCTGTCTTATTTGAACTTCTGACAGGTTTTCCTCTGTAAGAGCAGGTTCTAAATCAATAAGCAAAAGCATTAGGATTGGTTCTTTAGAGTTCCTTGACTTTATTTTCCATTGCAAAATCTATCACTACCTGATATTGTATTATATATTTTACTTGTTTGATAACTCTCCTCCCCTAACTAGAATGTAAGCTAGGGATATGAAGATAGGGAGATTTTTCTTTCTTGTTTCACTGCTCTATCCCCAGTACCTATCTGAGTATATGGCATTCAAAGCATGTCAGTGAATACATGCATGAATGAGGTAAAGAGTTTTGAAAATTAGTTCTGATAGACAGAGGGAAGAATGAAGAGTACAAGAATAATAAGCCCCTAAGTAGAGAAGGGAAATGAATTTCAGGGTGTCAGTGAAGACTAGGAAGGGTCAAAGAAGGCTTTTATGTCAAAGTTGGTACTGATTGTCCGTTTGCATGCATTAGAACTTACCCAAACTCCATTTAACCTCAATGGTGGCTCTAAATTCAGAACAAATGAATATCAGCGATTCCCAACAACCCAAAGAAGCAACTGCACATGGCTAATTTGTTAAGAGTATTTGAATAGACTGTTTCCACAGACAATAAGATAAATGTGCAATCCTAACAGACATCTTTCCTTACCTGATAGAGAACATTAACCTGAAGAGAAGAAACATATTTTTCCTGTGTGACAGTTTACATTCTCTTATTCTTCTGAAACTGTTGTTTTTTAGGAGCAATGCACAACTGTAGCTCTCTATATATTTTACTCCTTACTAAGTTATTAAAAAAGCATAGCATATAATGTGTTTTGTACCCTCGAGGCATAACAGATAAGCACAACTTGTTTAGAGCTTAGTGTGAAGGGAATATCGAATGAAGCTGAATCCTATCAGGGTATTAATCATATTCTCTTATCTGCACAAAATTTCATAATAACTTAAAAAAGGAAAAAATAATAACTATAATATAGGCACATAAGTATAGTAACTGTGTTATTAATGAAGTAGTCAAACCTTAGATTTAGGCAATGGAACACTAATAATAGTGTTATAACTTTTTAACAAGTAGAGTTACCTGTTCATGTTGGTATTTCAGAAGACTAATTTTGGGGGCAGTTTAAAAGAAAAGTCAGCATAAGGAAAAACTAGACACAGGGAGAGGAGTTCGGAAGATGTATTTGCGTGCATGAGGAGGACTGTCTGCCCCGACCAATGACAGAGGGATCTAAAGCACCCAGTGACCTACTGGGTATGGAGACGGAGGGGGATATCTTGGATCATGTGGAAGTTTCGATCTTAATTTACTTTGTGAATGGTGATCTTGTTTATTGAGATTTGAAGTACTAGAGTCAAGGAAACATGATTTTTACTTTGAACATTTTGACTTTGAGATACATGTGGGATAACTGTATGGAAAATCTGGGAGATGGTCTGAAAGGTTAATATAAAGCCCAGAAGAGGGCTGGAGACCAAAATTTAGAAATCATGGGTTTATAGGTGAATCTTTGTAGGCGAGGGAGATTTTCCAGATGGAATATGTGTGAGGAGGAAAGGAGCAAAGGGTTAATCCAAGCTACAAATTCAATGGAATTTGTATGAACACTTGAAAGATAGACATAACCCTGGTCATGAATCCTTAATATGTTTAAAGATGATGAAAAACAGCTGATGACTGTAGAGCCAATCCATGCCGATATTTTGTTGGAAACTTACAAGAGGAAGATTGCTGATGAAGGAAGACTTTTCCTGGCTGAATTTCAGGTGCGTGCTTCTCTTGATATATGATGAGAAATTTACTCAATTGTTAAGATCATTCCATTTTAAATGTATTATGTAACTATTTGCCTTTGTAGTTTATCCCACGTAATACTGCAGCATAGTCAAAGCAGAGATTATTAAGATATTTACAGAACAGAATAGATACTTATAGTCATGAAACAAGTGAACATTTCAAAATAATTCTTCATTGTATCATTATCAGTCTTGAGGTTGTGACACAAAACATATTTGGTCAGTTTTGTACTTATAGTCTAGGTAAATATCCAAGTTTGTGTTTTTAAATGAATTTTACAGTGGTAATTAATTCTGAATTTACTCTCACTTGTGGGTTTTATTCACAAAGTAGCCAGGCCAACATTCATTTTTTAAGGTTTTTTTTTTTTTTTCATAATTTCTAACAATATTAATTTCAATTATGCGACACAGCTTGCTTATCAGCATAAAGGAAATACATTATAGGATGTTTCCTTTGCTCAAAATGACAAATGGCAAGGGGAAAATTATTTTTCTTGAATCTTCTGTGACTCAAAGTATCTTTATGTCTTTCAGAGCATTCCACGGGTATTCAGCAAGTTTTCTATCAAGGATGCTCGAAAACCTTTTAACCAGAATAAAAACCGTTATGTTGACATCCTTCCTTGTACGTACTCATTGAGAATTGGATTTCCATATATTTAGGCTATTTGATTATTCATTATTTCATTTATTTATATTTCTTTTCTTTGAACAGATGATTATAACCGTGTTGAACTCTCTGATATAAATGGAGATGCGGGGTCAAATTATATAAATGCCAGCTATATTGATGTGAGTAAAAATGCATAACTGCCAGATTAATTTATATCTTTGTTGTTTTGTCATTAACCATTTTCATTTTTCTTGTATCTATGCATTCTATTCAGTTCCTTCTTTATCATGGCAAAGCTTCAGAAATATTATTAGAAATAGTTTGAAGTAAACCCCTAATGTTGCTGAGATAAACAATAAAATCATTACTAACTGCAAGTATAGTTATTATTTGTTATTGGTACTAGGTATTTTATAGAATTTTTTCTACAAAAAAGATGATACTAATAAAATATTCTGGTACCTACTATGTGCTGAATATTAGACTAAATGATCTATGTATATATTGCTCATGAGAGCCCCACATTTGCCCTGGCCATGTGTACCATTCATGCTCACTGTAGAGGTGAGAGGTGAGGACTGGGAGGTTCTGGGGAAGTAGTTGTCCTTGCCCTTGTTCAGTTAGTAAAAGGTTGACTTGGGATTCAAACCCAGGTCTGCCTGACTCCAAACTATGATGCTTCAATTGTATCACATTTCATGTCAGCAGAGATGTTCTTCATTGAGCCGGCTCATGTGTTCATTGTATTTACCCAAAGCCAAATACTGCATATGGTTAATGTATCCATAATATTTAAAAATGTTATTTATTATATAATTGTTAAATAAATAATGTACCACACAATTTTTTTTTTTTTAAAAAATTAAGTGGTGTAACAATAGAGAGAGACTGAAAAAATTCTCCTTCCACACAATCCACCATTTGCCCCATGTCTCCGTTTACCAGAACAGGTAACCTTTATGTTGTTTCTTATTGATCCAGCCAGTTTCTTTATAAACAAGAGAATGCCAACTTTTTTTATCCTCTTCTTTATCTAAAAATGTTAACATAATATTCATATTGTTCTGTGTCATGCTTTATATACATATGTAAGATTTATATATGTATGTGTATATGTATATACATATACGTATGTGTGTGTATGTGTGTGTGTACACAGAAAAAATTTATATATATAATCACTACAAGAAAAGGGATTGGCAAATTTTTTCTGTAAGGGGCCTAACAACAAATATTTTGGGTTTTCAGGACATAGCACTTCTGTCACAATTACTTAGATCTGAAGTTTAGTGGCCACATCCAGAGATAATACACAATGTGAATGTATTCAATTTCTTTCTTTCTTTTTTTTTTTTTTTTTTCCCAAAATCAGACACAGGACACTTGGGTGGCTCAGTGGGTTAAGCCTCTGCCTTCGGCTCAGGTCATGATCTCCGGGTCCTGGGATTGAGCCCCATATTGGGCTCAATGGGGAGCCTCCTTCCTCCTCTCTCTCCTCTCTCCTCTCTCTGCCTTTCTGCCTACTTGTGATCTCTCTCTCTCTCTCTCCATCAAATAAATAAATAAAACCTTAAAAAAAAAATCAGACACAAGTTGTAGCTTGCTGACCCTGGACATAGAGTATTTCTATACCTTTCTCTCAGATTTTATAAGACATTCATGGTTATAGCTGAATTGTGATTTAGTTAATCATTTCTTGTATTAATGGACATTAAATGCCTTTTCTAATCTTCTGCTTTTACAAACAATGGTTCAATGAATAATCTTGACTTATTATTTTACACTGGGATTTAGTATATATAGGATAAATTCCTAAAAGAAGAATTTCTAGGTCAAAGAGAATATGCATTTGAAATTTTAAAAGACATTTCCAAATGGTCCTCCACTAGGATTGTACCAATTTACATTCCACCAGCAGTGTATGAAGAGGGCTTATTTCCACAGACCGCCAAAAGAGTAATCAACAAAAAATTGTTTTGACAGTCAAATGGTTGACAAAGTGTATATCACGCTACTCTCTATGCTGGTTTATGAGGTAATTCACAAACTTTTCTTAAAGAAAAAAAATTGAAATTGAAGTTTGTTTTGATCTACGTGAATATATAAACTTTCAGTGGAATAGGTAAAATGGTCAAATCATATTTATTTACTTATTCACATGATGTGTTAGTTTCCTAGGGCTGACATAACAAAACACCACAAACTGGGTGGCCTAAAACAACATAGATTTATTCTCTCAAAGTTCTGGAGGCAAGAAGTCTGAAATCCGGGTGTCAGTAGAGCCATGCTTCCTCAGTAGGATCTGAGGGAAACCCTCCCTTGCCTCTTCTAGCTTCTAGTAGCTCCTGACAATCCTTGGCCTTCATTGGCTCGCAGCTGTTATCACCCTAATCTGTGCTTCCGTCATCACATGACCTTCTTTCCTGTGTGATTCTACATCACTATGCCCCCTTTCTCTCATAAAGACACCAGTCATTAGAATGAGAGCCCATCTTCAATCCGTAGAACCTCATCTTCCACAAAGATCTTCTTTGCAAATGAAATCATATTTTGACATTCTGACTGGATATGAGGTTTTGAAGAATGCTATTCAATCCTCTACACACAGATAATGTAAAATTACAGCAAAACTTTAAAATTTTGGATCATTTATGAAACATGCACCTTCACCATTTTTGCAAGTAGAAGCAGAGCTGGGATTTATCTTCTCGGGCATTCTGTCCCTAGAGTCGGCACTCTAACCAATACATATATCCTGCCTCCCATCCACTTTGTTTAATACATGACAATTTTTGTATCCTTGCTTACTGTTGTCTCTGCAAGTTCGATCCCAAGCAACAAATACCTCTTCCATCAACATATACTCATGATATCCACAATAAAATTTCTTACTTTATTCCTTTTTAATATGATCAACAAAAGACTTATTTATAATAATGAGCAACACTTACAAATGTGAGGTCATAGTCTAAAGATAATTATGAGTACTGCATCATAATTTTGACCTCTATTTTAACTGATTCTGTAAGTAATTTCTGTAGGCTTTCATAACTATCACTGATTAACTTTATTTTAGTACATAGTGTTCCTTTCACATTGTTTTTGGAAGAAAATTGAGAACAGATTTTATAAGAATTTAGCTGGTCTCTGAAAAAAAAACTTATAATCTCTATTCAAATATCTATGGTAATTATGGTATTGAATTAATACTTATTTTTCTCCACCAGAGCTGGGAGCTCCCAAAAAGCATGTCTTCAGCTTTTGGATAGTTACTTGACATATTGTAGTCCCTCAATAAATAAGTGCTAAATAAGTTAATATATGCCTAACACTATGTCATGAGATAAATGTTTCAAGAAGTTATTGACTTAATCCCGAATTTTTGTGGCCCATGTAACCATATTTCATTGAATGGGCAAAGGTTATCTCTCTGAAGGCTTCTCTGATTGCTGAGGTAAATTTAAGGAATATGGGATAATTTGGAAGAAATTAGCACAATATCTTATCTGCCTCTGTACTCCTTCTTTACTTTGGTAATAGGAGTGGAAAAAAGCAGATATGTAGGTAATGAAATGAAAGTTATTGTATCTTTTATCTACAATGGCAGAGAAGGAGTCTAGGGAATCTGCAGTCTATCCCAGCACTAGTTAAAAGGTAGAAATGTGGGAATCATCTCAGAATGATTTATTGAAAGAAATTGAGTAAAAATCCCAAAAGCAAATATACGGCTTGTACGAAGGTTTAAATTGTAACAGATGGTTTTGTAAGAGTTGGCAGAACATAAAATATAAGAACGTCTGGATTACTTTTATAAATTGCTGCACTACCCTAGATGAGGATGAAATCTGATTTCTAAAATTGTTTTGGGTATATGGGAAAGACACATGAAAGCCATGAATATGGTTTGTAAATGCTAACATGTTTGGCACAGTTTAATGGGTGATCACGAGTTAATAAAATCCCCCCCTTATAATTTGAAAATGTTCAGAAAAATCCACAACCAAGAAATTGTGGCTCTAAATCAACCTCCTTTAACTCACGATTTTGCATGTAAATGAGTAATTGAGGGTTCACTAAATGATATACCTTTGTATGTGTTTTAAACAGGGCTTCAAAGAACCCAGAAAATACATTGCTGCACAAGGTAATTTACCTGATATTCTAACATTCTTTTTGAAAAATTGTTTCATAGTTCTTTTATCAGAAAATATTTATCAGTTAGTATTTATTTACCTCCTAGGTCCCAGGGATGAAACTGTTGATGATTTCTGGAGGATGATCTGGGAACAGAAAGCCACGGTTATTGTCATGGTCACTCGATGTGAAGAAGGAAACAGGGTAAATGACATAGGATGAAGATGGGGGTTAGGAAAAGAGCATGTTGAATCGCATTTCAAAATACAAACCAAAACACACATATTGCTTGATGACAAAAACAGTTCTCTATTTTAATCAGTGTAACACTTGACTTAAATGTTTCATACATGTAGAAAAATAAAATACGTACATACCTAAATATATGTATATATGAATGAAGTTTAAGTGTTTGTGCTTAATTGCTGGCCTTACATTTGATTCCCATTTCTTTGCAGTATTGTTATGAGTTTAGTGCATTGTTATGAGTTTAGTGCATTTCAGTGTGCTGATTTCACAAGCACTCATGAATACTTAAAACAAGACTGTCCTTGGGCAGATATGTGGTAATTCATGTAATAGGACTTTAGGAAGCGTGAAAACCTCCCTACCCTGCAGCCTGAAATTAACTGCATGCAACCACATCATTTCTGCTGACAACTGAGCCCATCCTCTTTTAATATGCAGCTAAGCCTAGGAAGAGCATCCTTCTGCTAGGTAGCATGGAGAAATCTTTCAGGACATGTTGTTAATGGGAAATGAAATACTTTTCAAACATCACAGCTTGAGGTGTATATGTGCTTGAAGAAGAATACACAAATGTTGTGAGGAATATTTTTTGTGTTTTTAATTTCAATAAACAAATTTGTTTAAATGAAAAACCAAAATTATTAATATTTTTTTGAAATATAGAACAAGTGTGCAGAATACTGGCCATCAATGGAAGAGGGCACACGGGCTTTTGGAGATGTCATTGTAAAGATCACCGAGCACAAAAGATGTCCAGATTATATCATTCAGAAGTTAAACATTACAAATGTGAGTTTGTTTTATTACATGATTTTTATTTTCATATAGGTTGTCTAAAAATACAATTATGGAATGAAATTAAATGCAATCTATTTAAATTATAATCTTATCTAAATTATAATCTATCTAAGAAAAACTATTTTAACAAACTACAGGAGGAGGGGTTGCCTTAGAACAATAACACAAGCCAAAAGGGTCAAGTTAAATGACTGGAGAAAGTAGTATTTATCCAAGTCATATCAAAAGTATCTGTAGGGGCACCTGAGGGGCTCAGTTGGTTAAGTGTTCAACTCTTGATTTTGGTTCAGGTCATGGTCTCAGGGTTGTGGGATCAAACCCCTGCGTTGGGCTCCATGCTAGTCACATTCTCTCTTCCTCTTCCTCCCACCCCAGTCTCCCACTCAAATATATATAGTAATGTTGTGACTCTTGACATAAAGAGAAGAGCTCATTAATTGTGTTGAATAAATGATTGGATTATTGAATGAATGATAAAATGGCCCTTTTCTCAATGGGTCTATTACCATTACCATTATGGAGAGAATACTTAACCAAATGGCACAATTAGAGAGCTCTTTCTGCCCATGGATCCTGGCCTTGTACTTTAATAAAATTACCTTTATGCACCAACCCCCCCCCCCGCAAAAAAAACACAAAACAAACCCAAAAAGAAAAACAAAAAGCAAATGGCACAATTAGAGACTATTGTAAGAAATACAAAGTTCTGGGGCACCAGGGTGGCTCACTGGGTTAAGCCTCTGTTTTCCTCTCAGGTCATGATCTCAGAGTCCTGGGATCAAGCCCCACATTGGACTCTGCTCAGCAGGGATCCTGCTTCTCCGTACCCCCCAACCTCTGCCTATCTCTCTGCCTACTTGTGATCTCTGCCTGTCAAATAAATTAATAAAATCTTTAAAAAAAAAAGAAATACAAAGTTCTAACTATGTAGCAAAGATAAAGTGTTTAGTTTGGAAAAGAAAATTGTCACTGTGGCCTTAGATAATAGTTAAAATGGAGGTCCTCACACATGTTATAGGATTCCGAGTTTTTTGTTTTTTTTGGAGTTTTTGTATTATTATTATTATTTTTAATTTATTTTTTAAGTAGGCTTCATTCCCAGCATGGAGCCCAATGTGGGGCTTGAACCCACCAACCACCCTGGGATCAAAACCTGAGCTGAGATCAGGAGTTCGACACTCAACTGGCTGAGCCACCCAGGCACACCCTAGCATTCCATTTTTATGAAGAGTCCAGAATAGGCAAATTTATGGAGACAGAACGTTGATTAGGATTGCTTGAAACTGAGGCAGGGGAGAAGCAGGAGGAGGGATGACTGCTAATCAGTAAGGGTTTCTTTGGGGAGGTAATGAAAATGCCTTGTAATTAGCTAGTGGTAGGATTTTATGACTCTGAGAATATAATAAAACATTTTATCATTTAAATGAATGAATTTTATGGCATGTGAATATATTTTAAAGAGGGATAAAGACGCAAAACATACCCCTACCACTTATGTATTTCTTCCAAGGCCTTCATAGGCTCCCATGGCATTACTAACTACTGTAACCACAGAGGGCTGTGGGGCAATGGTTCCACCACCAATAGTTCATGGTAAAATACATGAAGGACTTAGGCATGAGACCCCCAGTCCATATATATGGGTCATATGTAGATCAGGTTATATCGATTGGTCTCATTATTATTCTTAATTAATATAATTATTTCCTACCAGAAGATTACAACCAACCAAGTTTTGTTGTTTCTTCTGCTATCTAAATGTAGGTGGTTCTTCTTCGTACCAGCTCAGGGAAGTATGAATTATTCATCTTGTAGGGGTTATCTTGAAGTTGGGACAATTATGAACCATAGTCTGGGGCTGACTTTCCTCAGTTGTCTCCCCACAGTCTGAGCTAACATTTCTAATATAAGATGCCTACAAAACATAGCATTAACCAAATAATTTATCAGACCTTCTTCATGTGAAGAAAATTTACTGGTCTACCAAACAGAATTATTTCAGCTGTGAGAATGGCCTTTGCTTTATATCTTTTTCTACCCACCCACATCCCCATTTTTGGTGCATGTGTGTGTTTCTGTTATTTGTTTCTGGCATCACAGCATGGAAGTTCCTAGCAGCCTCAGCTCACTTACCACAGCTTACTACCTTCCTGGTAAGTCATTGCTTACCGGTTAGTGCTTGCCAACCCTGCATGACGTCTCAATGGCTGGTTATCCATTGGAAAGGAAAATGTCACCATGGTTGAAAAAACTTACATGAGGAGTTCTTGGTCCTGCCGCTCCTTCTACTTATTTGTCAGGTAGTTTGCTTTAAAAAAAAAACAAAAAAAAAAAAACTCAAAGAAAATATCTTTTGCTTAGAAAAAAGAGAAAACCACGGGAAGAGAGGTGACTCACATTCAGTTCACCAGCTGGCCGGATCATGGGGTGCCTGAAGACCCTCACCTGCTCCTCAAGCTTCGAAGGAGAGTGAACGCTTTCAGCAACTTCTTCAGCGGCCCCATTGTGGTGCACTGCAGGTAAATGGAGCCCCACGGCAGGTGCCAGAGCTATCCCAGTCCTCGCCTTGAGGCTGGTAGGGACATCCTTCCCTTTGGCAGTTGCTGCTTTGGGCAACAGTCTGTGAGGAGAAACTTAGGTTCTTTCCTCTGCTTCATCCCGTCAGCTTTTCCATTCACTTCCCTGCCACGATCATGCCTTCACTTTGTTTGTTTGCTTTGTCAGTGCTGGTGTTGGACGCACGGGCACTTATATTGGAATTGATGCCATGCTAGAAGGTCTGGAAGCAGAAAACAAAGTAGATGTTTATGGTTATGTCGTCAAGCTACGGCGACAGAGATGCCTGATGGTTCAAGTGGAGGTATGAGCCAACCTTCAACCCCAAATATCCCTTTTGCTTTTTGACGGAAATTTTCCTGTGGGGGGAACAGTGATCTTAAAAGAAATCCCGAGTCTTCGAAATTTTAAACAGTGGGTGAAAATAGTTTTCTTTTAAATTCCTGAAAACTAAATCAATTGGTAAGCACCCATTAGAAGTATTTTGCATTAGTGTCTAAAAAGTACGGTAGAAGAAGGATGATTCTAAAATATATAAACAAACACATACATAAATAATAAATGCCACTTACAGGTGTCAGAAAGGAAAAAAGAATAAATAAAACACTGAAAACCAGTTTGGCAGAATCTCATAAAATTAATACCAGGGAGGACAATATAGTATAGTGATTAGAGCCCAGATTTTGGACCTACACTTCCAAGGTTCATATCTTGCCTTTAATTCTTAACGTTTTGTATCCTTTCACAAGTTTTTAATATTTCTGTGCCTTTGTTAAGTCATGTGTAAAGTGGAGGTAATGACCTATTTACTCTACGGAGTTTTGATGAAAAGGTATTCTAAAGAAAGTATGTAGGCAAGTCCCCGGGACATGTATGTAGCCAGTAATTGTAAGTGATGGTTATTATTGAAAATGCCTGCACTTGACCCAGCAATTCCGCATGTATGTTTATGCCCAAGAGAAGCACCTGCAAATGTGCACAGTTAGAAACGTGCGCAAGAATGTTCATTGAATTAAACATTGATAGAATAACCAAAAAAAAAAAAAAAGAAAGAAAAAGAAGAAAGAGAGAGAGAAAGAAAGAAGGAGAGAGAGAAAGAAAGAAGGAGAGAGAGAAAGAAGGGAAAAAAAGAAAAGACAAGACTTTATTCATATTTATGGAGAAAGGGGGAAAGTGTAGACATACAGATGCCCTACAACGCATGCTATGCAGTTGAAAGGGATAATCTTGGTCTGTATCCATCCATGTGGTTAGATGCTCAGATGAAAATCGTGAGTGAATAAAATCACTGAATGAAACATGTAAGATAAAATGTATAGAATTTTAAAGAAGCACACAAAAATGTACAATGTTTATAGATACATAAATATAAGTGCAGAAGTATAAAGATAGATTGTCAACCCGGAAAAAAAAATTATTTCCTATGGAAAAAGTAAATGGGGTAAAAGGATACAGTCAAAGTCAGGGCGCTGGAGTTAGTGATTAAAGAGGCTTGAACTTTATCAGAAATATGTCATTTATTTAAAAATAGTGGATTCAAATATGATAGAAAGTTTGGAGTTGTTAAATGTTGATTTGGCATAGTGCTTTTTTTAAAAATAATTTCCTCTATTTTAAATGATTCTAGGAAACTTTTTAAAAAATGCGTTCTAGGGAATATCAACTGGCATTCTTTTCCTCTTAAGTACAGTGAGAAATTTATTATAGTTTTATATATTAGTGAATTGAATTGATGGATCAATAATAATTACTGAAGGAAGTAACAGACAATGCTTTCTGATTTTTAGAAATAAAATAAAAGTCATGCACTATATAGTAGATATTTAATCTATTTAGCAAGCTATTTTTTCCTGGGAAAAAAACTGTCATGGAATTTGCCCACATTCTAGAGAACTGTGAGAGCCAAATTCCACAATATTCAAATGTTATAGGTATCAGTTTTCTTTTGCATACATTGTCCCAATATGAGGAAAGTTATGGGGATGTATAATTTATTTAAATGTGATTTATAGGACTGTAAGTTATCAGTTAATTATCTATATTTTTCTTTGGATTTGTAGGCACAGTATATCCTGATCCATCAGGCCCTGGTGGAATACAATCAATTTGGGGAAACAGAAGTGAGTTTGTCTGAACTACACCCATATCTATTTAACATGAAGAAAAGAGATCCACCCAGCGAGCCATCTCCACTAGAGGCTGAATTCCAGGTAATAATAGTGATAATAATAATAACTATGGGTAACTTTCACTGAGGGCTATTTTCTAGTGCTGCGCTTTACGTTTGACATGGTTCTTGAATTTGGGCCTTCCCACAACCAATGGAGCACAGATGAGGAAACTAAGACATAGAGAGTTTAAGAGAAATGCCCGAAAGTGAAAAGCTCTTACAAAGGAAACTTGTTTAAACCTAGAAATGTGTCTACAGCCCACACTTTTAACAGTTTCTCATTAAGGTGGTATAAAGTAGAGTGTCAAAATAATAGATAGTATATACGTACAAAATTGGTCTGCCAAAGGCAATGTAGCATCTCACCTTTTAAAACTACATCTGGTTTTGGTTTGGAAAGGAAATAATTAGAGGAGTTTATGACTACTTAGGAATTTTAACTGGCTGAAGCTGGTAGACAGAAACTAAAGGATAAATACATGTGTCCTAACCTATTTATTGGGCTATTACTTGGAAAGCTAGCTTAGGATATAGTTCACTCACTCAGAGAATTCTCACAGCTATCTCCAAATTGTTCAGTTGTCCAAAAAAAAAAAAAAAAGTTTGCCACTTTTCTCTTATGATTTCCAGTTTACTGAAACATTCTGTAAACTACCAAACTGGCCAAATTGGAGAGTTTCACAAGACCAGGAATATGTTTTTAATCAGATGCAGAATTGTTTAATGTTTTGGTTCAAAATGAGGATGAGGTGTGGGGGAGGGGGTAGGTAGAGCATCCGATAATCAGCAGCTAACACAATCCCCTAGAAGACCCAAGCATAGTGGAAGGACCAGCAGCCTGCCAGAGTAGTCTTGAGTGGAAGGATGTTTAATTGCTTTTTTCTTGCTCTTTTAGCTGACAGATCAACCACCTATCAGTACACTAACTCTGCTAAACCATATACATATATGCTGTTTGGAAATATTTATAAATGTAATTTAAACATTCACATGTAAAGTCACTAAAAGAAAGAGTAAATTCTGTGACTGAACAAATATGATTAGGTTTTTGCCCTGTGTCAAGTACAGTTTTGGGTACAAGAGTCAGAGTGATTTCCAGTGGACATGGTGAGAGTGTGTAACCCAGGTCACAGCTAGTGACTATAACTTATAGAAATAGTGAAATTATTTCATTTAAGCATAAAGGAAGACAGGAAATGAGAGGAGAGATGTAGGTTACTTGCTAGATTTGGTGATAGGAAGTTAAGGCTGTTCTTGTCAATTGTCTTCTTTCTAAAGAGGGTATGAAGCAAGATCATCAGTTAAAAGTTTAGGGGGGCAGGAGTGAGTAGGGCAAAGAAACACTTATGCTTGAGGAAGGAGAAAGTAGATGGAACAGCTATGTCAAAGTAGGAAAGCCATCTCCCTAGGCAAAGTAGTAGATTGATGGAAATTGTTACATCATTTCAAATTTATGGTCATGAACTTAAAGAGAGTCCTTTGGTTTTATTGTTTTCTATAGAAACATTGAAAATAGGGGCTGTGTATACAGACAGTTGGGTTAAACCCATCTAGGATTTCTTGAAGTGACTATTTGAAAGTCAGAGGCAAAGTAATTGAGGGTGTTTGCAAATGTATGATATAGTGGTGGATGATAAAGAGCAAATTGGCTGCAGAAGGACATGGGGCACTTAAGGATGGTGGTAAGGGTGGTATGTGGAAGATTTTGATAAAATTGCACAATGCTAGACTGAAGATACTAGAATAAATGACTAGGAAGAAAAGAGGTAATTTTCAATAATGAGATGATTGAAATTGTAATTTTTAAATGAATGCTTAAAATGAAACTTACAAAGGTAGAATGGAGAAAGTGGTTGGTAGAAGAGTGGAGGGAAAGGTCATAGGAGGTAAAGAAGCTAAGAAGAGACTAGAGCGTTGCATAGATCATCCTTGTCAATATTGAAGTAACCAAGAATGATGATAGACCTGGGAAGAAAAATGAGGCAAGTCTAAAACCAAATGAGAAGGAGCGATCCAGGAATCAGTACTTGGAGCCTCTAACAAAGGTCAAAGCTATATGACATGGCATCAGGAAAATTGAAGTAGTTGGGCTTTTTGAAAGAGAAATGAGTAGAACTCATAAGGAGAAATGAGTAGATGAGGAGGAGAAATAAGTAGAAACACGTAGCAAAGACAGAACATATCTTTCCTTCAAGCTGTGATGTATGTGGGGAATTCAGTTGTTTTTTTTTTTTTTCCAAAGATCTACTAATGCATTTTTGGTGGTGTTCTCAAGAGACCCTTGGGTTTCACCTGGTGCACCCCTCCTCCCCCAAGCATAAAAGGTGAAGGAACTGTTGGGAGAAAAGCATTAAGATGGATAGGAGTTTACTGATGACAGACCCTGAGTACCAGAGAGCAGAGAGGAAGACATTGACTGGTGAGATGTAAGAGACTGAGTTGTAATTTGAGAATAACGACTTAGATAATTATTTAGTAATAGAGTTCTAGCAGATATGGATGCACTGGGAAGCTGAGACTGAGGTGTAGAAAGCCCTTCATGTCTTAGATGAGGGTAAGCCATTAGTTTTATCTGTAATAGTGGGTATTGGCTACAGGGCAGGGGCCACTGGGTGACCATTCTAACAGACAGAAAGTATGATGCTTTCCAAAGCATCAGCCTCCGTGAGTTCAAATGGCCTGGTATTCAAAAATGAGGTTTTCTTTCTTTTTTTTTTTTTTAAGTTTTTAATTTATTTATTTGACAGAAAGATCACAGGTAGGCAGAGAGAGGCGGGGAAGCAGGCTCCCCATTGAGCAGAGAGCCAGATGTGGGGCTCCATCCTAGGACCCTGAGATTGTGACCTGAGCCGAAGGCAGAGGCTCAACCCACTGAGCCACCCAGGTGCCCTGAAAAATGAGGTTTTCATTCACTCAATTACACAGCAATGCATGGGGTTTGATACAGGGTGCCATATTTAGTTTGAAAGAGCGTCCCATATTTTAAAAATATATATGCATATATATGTATGTGTATATACGTACACATACATATATAATATAAAGAGCATACCATATTTTAAAAAATATATATATATATACATATATATGTATATACACACACACGCACACACACACATCCCATGCACATATGTTTGCCTGTGTATAAAATCCTAATGAACTGTATATGATGAGCTCTTTTGGTTTAGATTATTCATTCATTTGACAAATACTTAAGAACAAATGCGAAGAAGGGGCTACAGGCAGAGAGATCTTCCAGAATAAATGGCATTTAAACTGATAGTTAGGGACCCCCTGGGTCGCTCAGTTGGTTAAGTCTCTGCCTTCGGCTCAGGTCATATCCCAGAGTCCTGGGATTGAGCCCCACATCGGGCTCCTTGCTCAGGGGAGAGACTGCTTCTCCCTCTGCCTCTGCCTGCCGCTCTGCCTACTCGTGCTCTCCCTCTATCTCTCTGTCAAATAAATAAATAAATCTTTAAACTGATAGTTAAAAGGCGTCTGAAATGAGCAGAGTGACAAGAGAAAAGGGTAGCCCAGGCATAGAACTCACAAAAGTTAAAGGACAACTCAGCCCCTTATCAGAGTCAAGATGTTGGTTGGCTGAAGTGGAAGGGAACCATCATAGGGTGAGGCTGGTCCCAGGCAATGAACAGTGCAGCCCTGAAGGGTTTTTGGTGCAATTGAATGCTTCCTACCCATGATGGCAAACTGCTGAGGAGCCTCAGGGGGACTCTGTTTCCTGTTTTAAAAGGATTAGAGCAAGTGAGATTGATTGAAGATAAAGAGACCAGTTAAGAAACTGTTGATGTTTTCAAGTGAGAAATGGAAGTGGACGGTAAGAAGCAGAAACAGAGAAATGCAAAAGGGTTTGAGAGCTTCCCCAGCACACTGGAGAGGTCTTGTTGATGGATCATCTACTGTGAATGGGAGGGAAAGCAGTCAGGAAGTTGTAAGCAAATGAAGCATCAATTATTTGAAGCATGAGCCAAGTCTTCTGCGAATGCTGTATCTGGAGAGTTTATTACTGATCATTCCCAGTAATATACCACTGCCTTTTGTAATATGGATAATCATCAACATGGATACAGTAGTGCTTCGGCATATATAGGACCAAACCATTACTATTTTGCTCTCCAGCAACTCTTAAGTGGGAAACCTATTTTGTTAAATGATTGTATATCTTGAGTTCAAACTCACCATGTCAAAAATATGAAATGCCTGAAAAATTAAAAAGAAAACTTAAAACTTGTGAACTATAGGCAATGAATACACATTTTCACAAAATCTGATGTAATACTTTTCTTTAGAGAACATCTTTTGCCACAATAACAAACAAAAGCACAACTTGCATTTTAAAAGCAGTGTTCGGTTCTGTTTTTCCACCCTCAGAGACTTCCTTCATATAGGAGCTGGAGGACACAGCACATTGGAAATCAAGAACAGAATAAAAGTAAAAACAGGAATTCTTACATCATTCCATGTATGTAGCTCATTCTATGTTATTCTTTGGTCTCAGATAAAATTAAACTCTTTTTTGCATGCACACACACAAATGATTTTGAAGCAAGTTTTCAACATCGGGTTCAGAGTAGGGAATAGCTAATGGGCTATTTAAATGTAATTATAGAAAATATTTTGCACCCCATACATTCACAATGGACTTTGGAGGGTAGGCCGTATACAATATTTTCTACCAAGTTAGTATTTTCTATCAATTATTTCAGAAATGGGTTGTCAGAAAGATGTCACCTCCGAAGCTGGGAGAAAAAAGGCCAAGTCCACTTTACTAGTTCTCTCTCATCTTGAGTTTATTTCAGTTATTTGTTTCAGGGTAACTGCCAATAGCAACCATTACTTCCTTTTTTTTCGTTATGTTTTCTCTTTTTCCCTTCCTTCTATCTGGGAGATTGACAGTAGGTAAAGGTACTAGAGAGGGCACAGATTGCACGGAGCACTGGGTGTGGTGCAAAAGGAAGGAATACCGTTATGCTGGAAAAAAAAAAAAAGTACCCCATAAACTGTTAATCATCAGACTTAGTAGACTAACAACATATGTACAGTTTCAATATTTGAATTCTGTTATTTAAGAATTTTATAGGATCATGCCTGGTACAACTTTCATTTTATTCATTTGCATAAACGAGCATGGAGCAATTTGCATAAATTAGCATGGAGAAAATATAACAAGCTAACAAACTAGACAACCAAATAAATCGTATCGATGTATGTTTGACCTAGTTAATTTCTGAAGTCCTTCTAAATATTAGTTCAAAATCTAGAATTGATGATGATATAGCTAATCAGATCATTTGTCAGGATATTATAGATTAAAGAAATTGAGAAACACTGAGAAATTATGGACTAAATAATTTTCTTGATTGAATAATAAGTCACCTGAGATACCTATGTAATTAAGATTGTTAATTTGATATTAACAGGATATAAATGAGAAATTAGGTTTTTACCTAAGCTATGTATTTTTTTCAAACTTATGTATGTATTTTTAAACGTATCTAGCAGAATGATGATTTTCCATGGAAAACTGGTTTTCCATTTTCCATGGGAAACTAAAGTATATGTGTCAAAGACTGAATGATTATATAGAATATTATATCTATTTGTTGTTTAACATGGTGCTATATCCCATTTTTTTCCTAGGAACTTTTTTGAAAGCTGCTTTTTCTTAGATTTCTTTTTTGTGATTTGTTAATACACACTGAATTTTATGTAGGGTCTCATTTCATGTACATCAGTAAATTTACTCTATGCAGTCTGTTACTTCACTAATTTCTACATGACAATCAAGCGGGTATTTGGTTTTTTAAAGAAAGACTTACTACTAATTTATTTTACGTAGATGACTTTAACAGAGTGCCACTTAAACATGAACTGGAGATGAGCAAAGAGAGTGAGCATGATTCAGATGAATCTTCTGATGACGATAGTGACTCAGAGGAAACAACTAGATACATCAATGCATCTTTTGTAATGGTAGGTACTTGCATTTCCAAAGCCCAGGATCTAACCCTTTAAAAAATGTATTGTAGGGGCGCCTGGGTGGCTCAGTGGGTGAAAGCCTCTGCCTTCGGCTCAGGTCATGATCTCATGTCTTGGGATCAAGCCCCATGTCGGGTTCTCTGCTCAGTGGGGAGCCTGCTTCCTCCTCTCTCTCTCTGCCTGCCTCTCTGCTTACTTGTGATCTCTGTCAAATAAATAAATAAAATCTTTAAAAAAAAATGTATTGTAGAATACATTATAAAAATCTATATTTTTATGGTCATTCATTAAGTAATTTTATAAAAGAAAGACGAGCTTGACAATAACTATTGATTGACACAAAATTTCCATTTTTAATACTATATTTTAGCTTACTGAAAGACTTAAAGATATTAAAACCTAGTGTGTTGATACAAAATAAGACAATGCTTAGTAGTTACAATTTATGACCGGTAGGACTCTTCCAAATAATACAGATAATACAATTTGAGCAAATATAAGTATTTGAAAACGTTTCTACTTACTCAGATACCCAAATTTTAGGCAAATAAGAATTTGCATATTTGCATAGCTAAAAAATTTCATTCAGATTACCTGAATTATTAAAGAGTCTGTCTCATAACTTTTTTATCAGTAAACAGAAAATTCTTTTTTTTTTTTTTTTTTTTTTTTATTTGTCAGAGAGAGAGAGTACACACAAGCAGGCAGAGAGGCAGGCAGAGAGAGAGGAGGAAGCAGGCTCCCTGCCGAGCAAGGAGCCCGATGCGGGACTCGATCCCAGGACCCCAGGATCATGACCTGAGCCGAAGGCAGTGGCTTAACCCACTGAGCCACCCAGGCGTCCCAGTAAACAGAAAATTCTAACAAGGAACCATAGTCATTCAGTAAATACTTTTTGCATGTACATGAAGTTGGATTTATTTTCCAAATTTTTCTAAGACATACTCGTAGAATATTAGTTTAATTTGGGGTTATCATAAGACTGTGTAGGTAGCAATTAAAGTGGAGACATGGTGAAGATAATCTGAAATGCTTACATATTTTCTTTTTACAACCACATTTACTTTTTTTTTTTGAAGTTAGTTTTGGAAGGAAAAACTTGTTAGTTTTGTTAAGATTGTATGTTCTAAACTTGATTTCACACTATTAGCTAAGTATTATCATTAACTAAGTATCATTAACTGACTACATATAGATATCACATTGTTTCTTGGTTCTAGGGATCTTAATATTTTTATGTTACAAAATTTATATCAAATTAAGTGACAATATTTCCAAATGATTATTTTAAGAATCCATTGCTCTCTCATCAGTGAGCAAGAGTAACAGAATCTCTCTCTCTCTCTCTCACTCTGACTCTCTCTTTCTTATTAAAGAGTTACTGGAAACCCGAAGTGATGATTGCTGCTCAGGGACCACTAAAAGAGACCATTGGTGACTTTTGGCAGATGGTATTCCAAAGAAAAGTCAGAGTTATTGTTATGCTGACACAGCTGAAGGATGGAGACCAGGTTTGTACTTCTAAGAATATATATATTTTTTGTATTTCTGTCATAAAATATCATTATCCATTCTTGGATCACTTTCCTGATTACTCTACCCTAGGATTTTTGACCCTTCTGTCACAAAGTTGCCTTTGTTCATTCTTACCACCTTCCATGCAAGTGTTGGTCTCTCGAATCTCATGTCTGGGTTTGACAGTCTCTCATGCTACTGTTTCTCCAGTCCTACACACCATCAATGGATCATCTCACGCAGAGCAATCCCAGTGTCACTGCTTGCTACAAACAACAAGCAAAGACACATTTTCCTTCTGTTTTCCTCAGATGAAAATCAAACTCCTCAGTGTGATGTTTAAGACCCTCAATAACCAGACCCTCAAAAATAATTCCATTTTCTTCATATTTTTATGTTTTCCATGATTTCTATTCTGGACAAGTAGGTTTTCTGACTGAATCTTGACACACCATTTGCATTTTCATCACTGAGACTTAATTTACTGGCATTCCTATGTCTAAACGTGTCCTTTATTTCCATTTTGATCCTTTTCTTCTAGAACTCCTAAAAATTTTATCTAAATCCTGCCTTCTTTATGTTCATGTAATATTTATTATTACAAAATTTTATAGTTGGAGGTGAACCTAAGATATATTTTGATCTGTTTAATGCCTGTGACATTTATTTGATCTTTTCCTTAGTACCTTGGGTTATCAAAATCTCACTAGTAGTAGATTTTACTTAGTTTTAGTACCTAACACATTATCTGGCATATGTTACAGCTTATTTAGTGAATATTCTCATAAGCATGCAACTATATGCCTTTTCTTTCTGTCTTTTCTTTGGTGCCTCACTCCTGGATATAGGACAGGTTTTATTTTATGATATTTAAAAAAATTTTTTTGAAAAAAGAAGTAACATGTTCAGATTTCTAGCATGGAATTCCAGCACTCTTTTCTTTCACCTAAATTGTGAAAGCCAGGAACTAAAACACTACTTTAGGCAGGAATGCCTAACACTGTCAGCAACTGTGATGGTAATGGGTGCAGAACCATTTGCAGAGAGAACACACTTCTGTGGTCCACCTGCTTTTCAGTCTGACTCTTTACTTAGGTATGGAGTCAACTTATATAAGGCTGCTTAGGGTGTTGGTCTTCAAAATACAAGACAAAACTCCAAAAGATGAAGTCTCCTTCCACAAGGACCACTGGAAAGATAGTGACACTTCTTGCAAGGGTCATGATCAACATCAGCTCAATCTATAAATTTTGAAGAACTGTTGATAATAAGTGTATGGAAGGAAGAAACAGATCTCTAAGACCTACACTAGTGGCGACAGAGCCGTTCCTGTGGTGTCCTGGCCACTTTGGTTATTTCTCAATTCCTTTGATTCGCACAAGGAAACACTAGATATTGTGGAATGGATGTCCACCATACTGAAGATAGATTTTAGAGTTTTGTGTGTGGCTTTCCATTTTAGAACACAGTTAGTAATTTCAATCTAATAGAATGCAGGGAAAGAGAGAGAGGGCAGAGAGAGACAGAGATAGTAAGAGATGTTCTGAATACGTTAAAAAGCAAACAGAGCCCTTGTGTGGGGGTTGTTGAATTGTGTTCTTTGTCATCCAGGAAGCCTGTGCTCAGTACTGGGAAGAAGAAAAGCAAACATATGGAGATATACAAGTTGATATGAAAGATACCAGAGAATCTCCAGCTTACACCCTCCGTGTATTTGAACTGAGACATTCCAAAGTATGTAAATAATTTCAGGAGTACATATTTTTGTTCTGATCTGGTGGAAAAACTAATATAATTAACTCTATAAAAGCAAAGCGAAATCTGTATAATGTTTTTAGAGTAAACCTTTAAGAGTTAAATGAAAGCAATTGTAAAGACAGTGTGACTATTAAATTATTAAATGGACTGAACCTTACTTGAATTAATGTTCCCTTCTTTTCTGGTTTCAGAGGAAAGATTCTCGGACTGTGTACCAGTACCAGTATAATAACTGGAATGTGACAGAGCTTCCTGCAGAATCCAAAGAATTGATCTCTATGATTCAGACTCTCAAAGAAAATCTTCCCAAGAATTCCCCTGAAGGGAATAAGCATCACAAGAGTGCTCCTCTGCTCATTCACTGCAGGTAGGTGGGATTTGATAAGATATTCTCTAAAAATCAGCATAATGCTTGACTTCATGGTTTATACTTCCTGTTAAAGTCTATTTATCCTGATATATAAAATGCATGACCACAACAAAAGCTTCTTGTGGAATCAATCACTCTCAGTTTTGCTTGCACATACAGAGCAATTTCTATAACTGTTATAGAAATAATGATAGCAATGATTATATTATAGTGCAGTAGTTTTAGTCTATAAGTTTCTTAATACCAGTGTCACATCATCTTTGACTCCCAGTGCCTCACATTGAATCTGAATGTCTTATGGCCTGGATGAATTAATGAATAAGTGGCAGGATGCATGAACAGACAGGTGGATGGATATCAATTTTGTTTATGCTTATATGCATTGATCCACCCTATTGGGTCTTAAGACAATCCAAAGGAATGAATGCTTTGCCTTCAGTAAACATCTCAAGTTATATATTAACTGAAAAGACTTTAATAATATAATAATAATTTTGACTTTATTAATTTCTACTATGTAGACCCTTGACTTTCTTTTTTTTATTTATTTATTTGACAGACAGAGATCACAAGTAGGCATAGAGGCAGGCAGAGAGAGAGGAAGGGAAGCAGGCTCCTTGCTCAACAGCGAGCCTGATGCAGAACTCAAACCCAGGACCCTGAGATCATGACCTGAGCTGAAGGCAGAGGCTTTAACCCACTGAGCCATCCAGACACCCTGACCCTTGACTTTCATGTGTGAGAGATGCCTACATATCTACCTTAAAAAAGAGATATTGAAAGAAGGATGCATAATATAAAATATTTACATAAAACATATTAAAGTAAATGCAAAATAAAAATAAAAAGGAAAATGAGAAATGCAAATTTACTGAGATGCTTTTAGAAATTTCAAGAAAGCTTCATTATTATTATTAAAATTGCATACACCAGTATCAAGTCCTTATGGATGCACGACTTTTCAGTCTTTATTAGAGTTTCCAAAGGTGATATTTGTGCAAAAGAAAGCTAAAGTAGGCAACGTTAAGCTTTAAAATTATATGTGTTTCTTAAGATATGGCTGAATATCTATTATATGTCCCTTAGTTATGTACAATAAATAAAATCCTGCTAATAACATAATTGAATCTTTATTATAATGTAACATGCTTCTTATAGGTAAGTAAATCATTGAGTTGTCCTCTATTAATGAATAATTACACCAGGTGTCATTTTTCTATTGATACAGAAATGTGGACATTTGTAAAAAGCATTAGAGAGTCAGAAGAGAGAAAGAGAGAAGGCATGTGTTCTAGCAATATACAAAATATTTGGTCCCGTATTTCTGGTTTTATTGCTTTCTGGGCATGTCTCTATCTTCCCTAAGTCTTGATGTCCTCATCTGTCAAATTGGCATTACAATATTTGTCCTAACAACTTCCTTACAACTTCAGATGTAAATAAAAATGCATTGTAATCTATAAGGGACTAAACAGAAGAAAAAAATATTTATGAAGCCTGAGACAAGTATTTTTAAACTATAAGATTATTATATTCTCAAACCGAAAAAAGTTTTCCAAAAAAATGCATTTAGCAGAAACATTTTGCTCTTAGGAGATTGGAATGACATAATTACAATAAACATGAAGTGAAGAATGCATTTCATCTCTCTCAGTTTTTATTCTAATATCGCTTTCTCCATAAAATGTAGTATTATTTTCTTTTTAAAACTTTTCTTCATTTTATAGAGATGGATCTCAGCAAACAGGACTATTTTGTGCTTTGCTAAATCTCCTGGAAAGTGCAGAAACGGAAGAAGTAATAGATGTTTTTCAAGTAGTAAAATCTCTCCGCAGAGCTAGACCAGGAATGGTTCCCACGTTTGTAAGTAGATCTCACAGCTGCTTTTGATGTCTTTTGCATTTTTATTTTAACGGTTTCTTCTCTTTCTTTCCTTCCCTCCCCGTCTTCCCTATTCCTCAACTTTTCTCTTCTCTTCTATTTACCTTTCTATTTTTCTTTCCTATCTTCCTTTTCTACATGATAATTCACATTAAATTATTATATTTTATTTTTTAAAGATTTCATTTATTTATCTGAGAGAGAGCACAACCTGGTGCAGTGGCAGGCAGAGGGAGAAGGAGAAGCAGGCTCCCCACTGAATAGGAACCCCACCTGGGACTCGATTCCAGGACCCCAAGATCATGACCTGAGCTGAAGGCAGATGCTTAACTGACTGATCCACCCAGGCTCCCCTAGATTATTATTAATATAAATAAAAGAACTAACTAGAACTTGCCAGCAGTTTGTTGTGGCAGTTCATGAAGAACTTCTCTTCAAATGCTCATGAATTCCCTAATTTTCCCCATCTTTACTCCTGTATTAATTTGTATTGCTGTGTAACAAACCACCTCAAAATTAATGGCAAAAAAAAAAAAAAAAAGAACTATTATAGTTCAATAGTCTATTGGTGCAATGAAAGAGTTCTGCCAATCACATCAGCGTCAACCAACGTGGACAAGGCTCACTTACTGGTTTGCCACTGCTGATGTGTCTGCTGGGATTTGGCTCATCCAAAGTGATCCCTACCACTAACAGATTGGCAGTTGCAAGCCTTTAGCTCTGGCAACAGGGGTGAGTAGAACGCAGGTGTCTTCCTCTCTGGAGGACTAGCGCAGGCACATTCCCATTAAGGCAACAGAATTCTGAGAAGCAGGGCAGCCGAATGTGAGACCTCTTGAGGCCCGGGCTTGGAAACTGGCACAATCTGTCGTCCTCCGCATTTTCTTATCCAAACAAGTCACCACGCCAGCTCAGATTCAAGAAATGGGGAAATTGACTCCACTTCTTGTTGAATGGGTCTGCAAAGTCACCTTGCCAAGAAGTGTTGATCCAGTGAGAATAGCAAGTGTGGCGTTTTGTAATCAATCTAACCTGGATATTCCGGGTAGTCCAGAAATTCATAACTAGTCACCATATAAGCTTAACCACTCACTCAGATCTATGCAGCTTTTAACGGTGCAGGACACTGAGCTTGCGTACAGTTGATTATAAAAATGTCCTGAGCGCCTACTATGTGCTCTTGCCAATAAGAGACTCACAGTTTAGTATGAGGAAAATGTGGATATTTGTTAAACAATGTAGTAATTGAAATGACAGAGAGATTATACAAAGAACATGAATAGGGGCACTGAATTTAATCTATGGGGATCTGCACAGACTTTCCAGAAGCAAGTGATTTCTGCTCTGATACTTAGAGGAATGATGCTTAGGCATTAAACCAAGAAGGATAAGCCCAGAAAGTGGCATCATGGGCCAAGGCAAAGAAATTAGACCCCACGTGGCCTGGGAGGAGAATGAACACGTTTGGTGTTACTCCAAGGTAAACTTTGAGGAATACCCTGCAGTCAATCCTTTAGAACTAAAGGGGGACTAAGCCATTTAAAATGTTCTTTTTATAAAAACAAAAAAAAAGTAATTTTCTGCTATCCAAGACTTCCAAGGAGATGACCAGTTCTTGCTAATTTTCATCTGACATAAAAATAAATACGTAAACTTTCTTTATAATATTACATAAGCTTTTTTGCTTCTTTCTTTTACTAGGAGCAATACCAATTCCTGTATGATGTCATTGCTAGCACTTATCCTGCCCAGAATGGACAAATAAAGAAAAGCAACAACCAAGAAGATAAAATCGAATTTGATAATGAATTGGACAAAGCAAAACAGGGTGCTAATTGTGTTGGTTCACCTGGTGCCCTTGATAAGGCCAATGAAGGAAACAAAGAAGATGAAGGTACTAAAATCACGAATGGCCCTGAAGAGCCAGAACATTCTGCCAATGGTCCTCCGAGTCCAGGTTTAACTCAAAGTGCATAGGAAAGACATATACAGGACTCAAAACATTGTATTAAGTGTTATTTCTATTTTTCTAAAAGTAGGAGGATAAAATAGATATACAGTGGATTAATGAATGAAGTACTTTGGACAAATATTTGAGAAGTTTTTTTTTTTTTTTTTACTACTGTGGAAACATATTTAAGACAGTTTTGCTAAAACATTTGTACAGTTTTATTCATATTTTAAAATTTTACCTGTCATTCATCAAAAAAATATCTTCTTTGTAGTCTTTGGATGTGTGTATGTGTGTGTGTGTGTGTGTGTGTGTGAGACAGAAACAGCAACAGAAAGAGGAGAGAGGGTACTTTTAAGTGAACTTAAATGCTTTTGAGAAATTTTGCCCTTTTATTTGAAGAAAAAACACATTTTATACTGAATATATTAACTTAGTTTAAATGACCTATTTTTTAAATCATGAATTGTGTGTGAGACCTAAGAATAAAATGTGCATTTCTAGAATGACCTCAAGATGTCCTCCTTGTTCTACTCATATATATCTTGTAGTTTACTATTTTATTTTTAGAAATAGACATAAAAGTAGTATGTGTGTGTGTAGTTACTACAAGAAAGTTAACTAAATTAACATTTGGAAATCTTACATTCCATATGTTAACATTTAGTCCTTACCTTTCAAGCTCATTTAATCTAATTTAAAATTTTTAAGCAAGCTCATCTTGTTATATTCATATGGTGTTTATAATTTTGTAGCATGGACTATTCCCTGTATAATATGTGAAATTCATTGCTTGATACTTTTGACCAAGAATTATGTTTGTTGCAGCTGAATTTAAATAAACATCTTTAAACAAATGCCCTTTATATTAATATTCATGGGAAACAAATAGAATTATGCAAACATATTTGTGTGAAATATTTAATTTGAAACCTGATCTATTTTTATGGATGCAACACTGATATGAGAAATATAATATTGCACATGTATACTTTCCATTTTAAAATTCATGCTTAACTTTCACCCAAGTGCATTTACTTTGTTTTTTTATCTATTTTATTTTATTATAATTCCAGTATAGCTAATATACAGTGTTTACTAGTTTCAGGTGTACAATATATTGATTCAACAATTCCATTTATCACAACAGAAGTGCATTGACTCTGAATTTCTCAAATGCTTAGATTATAATAGTTGAATTATGGAAAAAGCCCGTGTCCATTGATTGATGAATGGATAAAGAAGTTATGGTATATATACGCAATGAAATACTACTCAGCCATAAAAAGGAATGAAATCTTGCCATTTGCAATGACATGGTGGAGCTAGAGACTATTATACTAAGGGAAATAAGTCAGTCAGAGAAAGACAAATACCACATGTGTAATTTAAGAAACAAAACAAATAAGCAAAGGCAAAAAAGAGAGAGAAAGAGAGGCAAACCAAGAAAAAGACTCTTTTTTTTTTCATTTTTTATTAACATACAATGTATTAGTTGCTTCAGGAGTACAGGTCTGTGAATCATTAGTCTTACACAATTCACAGCACTCACCATAAAACATACCCTCCCCAGTGTCCATCACCCAGCTACCCTATCCCTCCCCCTACCCCCAGTAGCCTTCAGTTTGTTTTCTGAGATTAAGAGTCTCTTATGGTTTGTCTCCCTCCCTGGTCCCATCTTATTTCACTTTTCCCTCCCTTAACCCCATGGTCCCCCACACTGCCTCTCAAATTCCTCATATCAGAGAGATCATATGATAATTGTCTTTCTCTGATTGACTTATTTCGCTTAGCATAATACCCTCTAGTTCCATCCACATCATTGCAAGTGGCAAGATTTCTTTTTTTCGACAGCTGCATAGTATTCCATTGTATATATATATATACCACATCTTCTTTATCCATTCTTCTGTTGATGGACATCTAGGTTCTTTCCATAGTTTGGCTATTGTGGACATTGCTGCTATAAACTTTCGGGTGCACGTGCCCCTTTGGATCACTACATTTGTATCTTTAGGGCAAATACCCAGTAGTGTGATTGCTGGGTTGTAGGGTAGCTCTATTTTCAACTTTTTAAGGAAACTCTATACTGTTTTCCAGAGCAGCTGTTCCAGCTTGCAAAGAAAGACTTTTTTTTTTAAGATTTTATTTATTTATTAGACACACAGAGAGATCACAAGTAGGCAGAGAGGCAGGCAGAGAGAGAGGGAAAAGCAGGCCTCCTGCTGAGCAGAGAGCCCGATGTGGGACTCCATCCCAGGATCTGAGATCATGACCTGAGCCGAAGGCAGAGGCTTAACCTACTGAGCCACCTAAGCGCCCCAAGAAACAGACTCTTTTTTTTTTTAAAGATTTTATTTATTTTATTTGACAGATAGAGATCATAAGTAGGCAAAGAGGCAGGCAGAGAGAGAGAGAGGAGGAAGCAGGCTCCCTGCTGAGCAGAGAGCCCAATGCAGGGCTTGATCCCAGGATGCTGGGATCATGACCTGAGCTGAAGGCAGAGGCTTTAAGCCACTAAGCCACCCAGGCGCCCCACCAAGAAACAGACTCTTAACTATAGAGAACAAACTGCTGGTTACAAGAAGGGAAGTGGGTGGGGGATGGGTAAAATAAGTGATGGGCATTATGGAGTACGTTTGTTGTGATGAGCACTGGGTGATGTATGGAAGTGAATCACTGTATTGTACACCTGAAAGTAATATTACACTCTATGTTAACTAACTGAGTTTTAAATCAAAACTTAAAATTATTAGACTGCTTTTACCAGAAATTAACATTAATAATCATAATAAAATCCAATCATTATCTTCTCATATATAATATATTATGTTATGTATTCCTATATGAATTACATAAGCACATATTAAAACACAGGCTTAATGCAATGAACATTTGTAGAACAATGTCATAGATCTCAATTTTTTTAAAGGTTTTTTTTTTTTTTATTATTATTTGAGAGAAAGTGTGTGCATGCACAAGGAACTGGGGCAGAGGGAGAGAGAGAATCTGGAGCAGACTCCCCACTGAGTGCCCAGGCCAATATGGGGCTCGATCCCACAACCCTAAGATCATGACCCGAGCCAGAACCAAGAGTCAGATGCTTAACTGATTGCGACACCCAGATGCCGGTCACAAGTCTCAGTTTTCTTTTTAAAAGATCCATAGTCTAAAAATTGTTTAGAATCATAAAAAATTAAAGAAAAATGGCATTTTCCAAAAACTAATGAACACTCTTTTTGGTGAATTCTGGATGAGGTTATTACATTAGTCACACACTACATTTAGGTTAACTTTGTTTTCTAAATCTTCACTCTCCTGACTGATTTTAAGTGTCTTAACTATGTATCATCAATTACTTTCCATTCAACTCAATTTATCTTGTGTTCATCTTTCTAATTCTTTTATTAGAAACGTGAAATTAGCAATTAATTATTACTTTTTTGGATAGTACCTTGTTAACATATGAAAAGAAGTGAATTTTAAAATGAAACATTAGTTTCTAATTTATACTGAGTTTACATACTATCTCCTTACTTATTAGTGAGAAAAGGGGGTCTAGAATCATCCAGTATGGGTACCATGAAGAAAGAAAACTTGCTTTCACGTCTCTCATTAGTCACTCAAACTTTCATTTTTTTATGTTTTTAGTCCATCAAACTTTTAATGCCTTGATATCTCCAATTAACATGCAATCAGTTGCCATTTACTAGGTAATGTTAAGGTACACAGTTTTTGTTTGTAGCAAACTAGTGTTACATTGTAAGGACCTATTTAGAAACTGTCCCTGCTACACTTCCCCCAGGGGATTTACTTGGAGACAAGTCCCCGAAACCAGCTTCAGGTAACAAAGCCTAGATACAAAGGTGGGTCAGGCCAGGTGGAGGCATCAGATCAGTGGGGGGATGCATACTGTCTCCCTGGTTACCAAGGAGTATGGGCCCCCCGCCCTTTGGGAGACTTTTGGGCGCCAATCCCAGTCAAGGTGTAATAGGCTGGTTCAAATGTCCACTAGGGTAAATTGTCACCTAGCATCACTGTGGAGTTTCCTGTGTGTGTTACAATCTCATTGGCCACCTGTGTGTGGCCCGGTCTGACCGCATGGCCTTTGCCCTTAAAAGCTAGTCTGTGAAACAGAGAAGGGTCACCCTCTCTTGTAAGAGGTGCGTCCCAAACGTTCGGTTAGATTCTTGATGCTTGGCACGAAATAAAGCTTTGCTTGACCTTCGCTTTGTATCAGTCTCGCTCCTTTAATCACGCACCCATTATTGGGGCATAACAACATGAGCCCATTTTATTTGTGAGCTTCTTCAAAATACGAACAGCAGAAGTTCTGAATTTTAAATAGTTTACAAGTGCAGTGTCCCTCTGAGGTTTTAGGGGCAAGTGACATCTTCCAAATGGGGCTATTATGTGTTTTTGATGTGTTTTTTCCACTTGAGTCTACCCTTTTGAGAAGATACAAAATAAATACTTACAAAATAGAGCCATGGCAATTTCTGTTATTTTAAGAAGCAAGTTGGAAACTTTATTTTTTCTTTTTTAAATGAGAAGTTGTAAATGAAGAACTAGAATAGGGGGTCAGAAGGATCGTTACTCTGTGAGAATATCTATCAATCAGAAGGTGGGACCCATTGCATTAGAACATGGAATTAGATGTATATAATTTTTATTTTTAAAAAGAAAATCATATATGAATTATAGACCCATGCCCATGACTATAGGTCGCATTCCTAGAGAATCTATCATGAGATATAAAAGATTCGTTTTCTAAAGTTTGGGATTGCCATTAGTAATTCCAAGGCCTAGTTAGAGAAATTAAACAAAAATTTCCAATTTAATAAAGGCTGGTCCATTCTAGGGTTAAGGCTCTGGATATCATTGTACATTTATTGGGCAAAAAAGAGACTATGTTTCTTTTAAAGTTTATTTTATTGCTGGTACCAGGATTCATTGGAAATAAAATATACATTTACTGTTCTTAAAATTCAGCTCCCAAGCCATTTATTTTTTACAACAAATAAATATTTGCGGAAAAGAGACATACATTGTAATAGTCCCTTGAAATTATAAAACCATGTTTTATAGGGATGAGCTGAATGTCTTTGCAATGATAGTTTAGAAATATAAGCTTTTAATCAAAACTCTCATACATGTACAGTGAAACTTTCACATCTATGCTTGCTCTGTTCCCCCTAAAACACTGAATACAAAGTTTATTGTTTCTTTTAACTAACTGGGACTGATCTTAATTATTAATTTACACCAGAGATTTGTTTTAAAATGTTCTCATTGCAGTATATTAGGTCAAATTAAATGTGTGGTAATTGCTCCTGCTTAACTTTAACATGTTTCTTGACATAAAGACTTTCAAATGTACAACTTCAAAGGAAAAGAATATTTGTTGAAACGAGTAGAATAGGCTATGCTTTCATTCTCCTATACAAACTTTACAACTGGAACAGGCTGAAGGTTCTTCAAAGAGACACATTCAGAATTGAGCTTTTTCATTTCCTATTTCAGGTGAAAAGATTCATATTGTTAAGGGTCTATTTTCCGTAATCATTCTTTTGTAAGCCTCCTTACGTGTCTCTTTACATTTTCTTGGCACTTTTTTGTTGTTGTTCACTACTGACCCAATGAAAGGGTGTGCAAGCTGTGTCGTTACTTCTAAATTTAACAATGAATCTTGGAACACTGAAAAAAAATAAAATTACAATATTTTTAAAAAGCAATAATAATCGTAACAGCTAATGTTTATTGAGGCATAATACAGGCTTGGCATTTTATTAATTGTCTTACCTATGTTTGTTTATCAAGACAGATTCTATGCCGCACAGACTCTTAGTATCTCCACT